GTCCGCGGGCTCCGCGCTCCCGCACCGGCCCAGGGGACGGGCGAGGGCGGCAGGTAAGGAGCGCACCATCCGGAGCCCAGCCGAGGCCTTGAGCAAGTCACTAACCCTATCTCCGCAGTCTGCACCTCGGCGGGGTGGGAACAGTGTAAATTTGTCGTGAGCATTAAATTAGGTAATGTGTAAAAAGGGCCGACCGCAGGCCTAGATATGGGCCTCTGGATCAATGAATAATAACAGCCGTTACTAATGCCGCTTGGTCATTGTGTGGAGAGCAGCAGGGCTAGCAGAAAAAAGTGTCGGATAATCTTAGCTCAGCCACTTTCTACGGTGTCCTGGGACAGCTACTTAGCCGCTCAGAATCCATTTCGTTTGTATGACGGGAGAAATTATGACACCTGCCTCGGAAGGTTGCTGTGAAAATGAAATAATGCGATGCCTACGGAGTACGTAGGAGAGCGGTGCTCTGAACTGGTGGCCAGCTCTTCCACAAGAGCCGATACCTAACCGAGCGTAGGACCTAGGAGCAGCTACAACCGTGCTCTGCTCTGCCGGTGAAGTGTCGTCTGTGTGAGTGCTCCAGGCTCGTCCAGCTTTGCTAGCTGCCGCACGTGGAGGGGGGAAGTGCTGGGGAAGGGACAGTGGACAGAGGGACCTTGCCTCCAGTGAGAGGAGAGTCGGACAAGGGCTTCCAGAGTCAAGATTCTGGTGAACGTCGGAGAGGAAGAAGCCTCCCCTGGGCTGCGGCTGTATTTGACAAGCAATCGAACCTACACCCGAGTTTAAAAAACAAACTCTCACAGGGGGTTGAGGGTGAATTGTTGTAAAGGAAGCGGTGAAGATGAGCAGTATTTAAAATGATGAAATAAAACAAATTACATTCTCCTTGCCAAGAGGCTAATTGCATACTTTTGAGGATCAGAGATGACTTTCTTCATCCCAGCAAAATAAATCATAGAGGTCTGAGGAGTTTAGAGCACTTTGGCTGCCTCTGGAATCTACTCCTCCCTCTCCCCAGTACTCTTTTATTTGCCACAAACTGGCATCGTAAACTTGAAAGGCCTCCAAGCTCCCTGGTTGGGGCTGTATCTCAGGGTTCAGGACATAGAAGAAGTCATTTTGCAGGTGCAGAGTCCCACTGAGAGGACCTAACGGGGCACTGTGTCCCAGACACACGCCCTCTGAGGACACAGGGGCCACTCTGCATCCCCTGTTCTAAATCTGGTGTCCAGATCCTCCTCTGTCAGTGTGGAAGGCATGAAGGACAGAGTCTGCATTTACCCTGGCTGCTGATCCTGGAGCTCACAAGTCTGGTGAGGCAGTCACCCTCACTACCCAGAATTTGGAAATTAAATAAAGTAAATCCTTCCTCTTTCTCCCGAAGTGTAATCCCAGATGCTACTAATGAACTGCTTGCTTCCATGGGAGAGGGAGGCGGCCCAAAGCCCCATACTGGTCCCCTCAGGCACGTACACCACGGTGGCCAAGTCTGCAACTGTCCAGCTCAGCTCCCCCTCTGGCAGGCTGTGTGATCTTGCATAGGTTATGTGACCTTTCTGAGCTCATTTCCTCCTCTGTAACAGGAGATAATACTAGTGTGCCTACATCGTGGAAGTTTTGAGACATGAAATGAAATATGTGGAGACTAGGTATATATTTATAGAGAGAGTATTGAGTGGTATGTATATATGAGACTGAGACCATATTTTATAAACATGAGTACCATTGCCTGAGGTCCTTGATTGTGTCCACTCTTAAAATGAAGATGACTTCACACTGCAAGGTTTCTGTAACTGAGATGCACCCTGAACATCCATGAGCATAGTCATTTGTTTTCCAATACTTTCCCTGAAAGCTGTCATTAAATCAAGTTGTGTTCTCCAAATTTATGGTATCTCAAAATCAAGGAAATAGAGCACAGCTTGGCAAACATTAAGCGGCCACAGTCGTAGGATCTTGTTACATCAGGTGTCCAAGAAGCACCAAGCGCTTGACTGTAAAGTGAAGAAATGAAATAGAAATGATTCCTCATGGGAGAAAACAGCAGAGAGAAGGGCTGGGGACAATCCAGCCGGGAACCTGATCTCATGCCGCTGCTGGGAAATTCTCCTGGCAGGTTTCAAGTCAGTGACACCTAATTGAGCATGTCCTCTGTGCCAGACACCGTGCCAGGCATGCGGGGGGCATGATGAGACAGAGGGGGTGCCTCGGGGTGTGGGGCGAGTGCAGAGATAAGGCACGAGTGGCAGTGAGCATCTGGTCACTAGGAGGGCTCCTGCACCGCGGACCGGGCAAAGGTCCTTCAGCCCGTGTGGTCAGCCTTCACGGCTTGTGCTTCACCCAGCCCCACCGGGCTCAGCCAGGGGGCGGTAAGAGGAGCAGGCAGCTGTGGTGGCCCAAAACAAATATCCTGGAGAAAGGGCCAAGACCTCAGAATGCAACCCGGCCGGCCATAGTGGAAAGTGGAAGGAGGCCCAGACTCACCTGCTTTTCCTCTCCATCCCTGCAGCGAAGCGCCACCTCGGCCATGGCTCCTGGGGAGAAGATCAAAGCCAAAATCAAGAAGAATCTGCCCGTGAGAGGCCCGCAGGCTCCCACCATCAAGGACCTCATGCACTGGTACTGCATGAACACCAACACCCACGGGTGCCGCCGCATCGTGGTGTCCCGCGGCCGCCTCCGGCGCCTGCTCTGGATCCTGTTCACGCTGACCGCGGTGGCCCTCATTATCTGGCAGTGCGCCCTCCTCGTCTTGTCCTTCTACACTGTCTCTGTCTCCATCAAAGTCCACTTCCAGAAGCTAGACTTTCCTGCGGTCACCATCTGCAACATCAACCCCTACAAGTAAGAGACAGAAGCAGGGACCCAGGGTCCTGGGAGGAGGACTTCCCTACATGCCCAAGTCCTTCTGAAAAACAAATGGCCAGCCCGCAGACATGTATTTAGGAATTTGAATTCATCGCCAATAGGGGTGAACTGCCCTCTCTCAGACTCTAAATCTATGCCCAAACTTTTAGTCCATCAGCTAATTCTGATGGGGGACGGGCCGGCTGGGGGAAGGCAGGCAGGGGAGGCTTCAGGGACCAGGTGTGTGGGGCGCTCGGACGGGAATCCATCCGTCCTCTCTGCCCTTCGCCGCTGCACACCCTAAACCTCACTCAGCCACCACTCCCAGCTCTCGGTGCTCATACCCTCACGCTCCCCAGAAAGTGCGCATGCGTGCGCACGCTGACTTAGAAATGACGCCAGGTGACTTCCGGAAGCATCTCCGCTGCTCTGAAGCCTCACCTGTGTCGGCCCAGCCCCATTAATTGAGCTCACTGTCAGTCGCAGGACCTGTTCTAACTGGGTCACCAGAGTCCTCAGAATTGTGGAACACTGATTGTGGAGGCAGGTTGGAGATTAGCAGGCTACGTCAGAGCAAGAGTGAGGGCAGGGAGAAGGGCAGAACAGGAGGAGGGAGATAATCAAGGCAAGCTCATTTGTCCCTAGTCATCAAGGAGTTGGTGGCAGAGCTCTAAACCAGAACCGGGTCTAAGACTCATCCTCGAACTCTGAAGCCTTTCTTTTCTTTCTCCCTGCCTCCTTCCCTTCATCATGCATCTGTCATTTGCCCCATCATCATCTACGCAGCACCCATAAATTCTCGTGCACCGTGCCAGGTTCTGGAGCTTAGAACCGAGCAGCCCAAACATATCCTTTGCCCTCATGGGCTTAAACTGTGGTGGGAGAGTACACTATTAACAGATAGAATTACACTGCTATAATTGATAATTGGGACCATTTCATCCCACATTATGCACAAGGGTTTGTTTTTTAGCTGTATAAGAAAGCCTCTGAACTTTCCCAATAACCTAGGCAACTGAGACAGCTGGGGATTTAGCTCAGTGGTTCCACTGCTCACCTCACAAGTGCAAGGTCCTGAATTTGATCTCCAGTACCAAAAGAAAAAATAAAAACAAAACAAAAAACAACTCAGTGACTTGCTCAAGATGGCTCAACTCTTTCTTCCCTGTCCTGGTTGGTGGACACCCAGCGGGCAGAAACAGGCCCCGTCTCTGCCCTCTGGGGACACTGCTGGTTAGCAGTTATTTACCTACCCTCATGGTGGCCGGTCTATGGGCAGCACCTGACCATCACCACTCCAGAAAGGCTGGCTGGGGCAAACTCATGGACACACCTGAGAGCAGGCAGACAGGGCTAGCGGTGTTGAAGCTGCAGGATGTCACACAGGGCCCTCCGGGAGACTTCTCCTTCCACAGGAGCCAGCGGTCACTTTAGATGGGGCGAGTCACAGAAGGCCTGGTCCCCTTGGTCAAGAGGGTGGGCAGTGACACTGGCCTGACACATCTGATGGAAAGCAATGTGTACAACTGGCAGCATTTGTCCAGAGCAGTCTTTCCCACTGTGACCTTCCCTTCCCACACTGGCAGGTACAGTGCTGTACGCGACCTTCTGGCGGACTTGGATCAGGAGACCAGAGGGGCTCTGAAGACCCTGTACGGCTTTTCAGAAGTTAAGTCTCGCCGACGCCGTGGGGCAGAGTCTGAGAACCCAGCCTGGGAAGGCATCCAGCCCAAATTCCTCAATGTGATCCCGCTGCTGGTCTTCAATGAGACTGACAAGGGCAGGGCCAGGGATTTCTTCACCGGCCACAAGCGCAAGGTCAGCGGGAACATCATTCACAAGGCTTCCAAGGTCATGCACATCCACGAGTCTAAGAAAACGGTGGGATTCCAGCTGGTAAGATTCGCTTCCTTGCAAGTTAGAGGTGTGGGATGGGCTGGAGATGGTGCCCTAGGTCTTTTCTGTGGCTATTTGCTCCTGCCAACTGCTGGAAAGAAATACACTCAGTTAGGGTGATTTAGCTACAAACAATTGAAACCTACTCGGCAAACTTTAAGCATGGGGAAAATGTAGGAGTTGACCAGTAGTTCACAGAACTCTCAAAGGACAAAAATGAGGGAAGTCCTAGGGATCAATGGCCAGAAAGGATGGAGTCTTTTCAGATACTGCTGTTGGATGAAAGGAGTTCTTTTCAGTCTTTTTTGTTAATGCTTAAGATTCAAATTCCAAAACTGGATGTGGTAGTGCATACCTGTGATCCCAGCACTTGGGAGGCTGAGGCAGGAGGATTGCCATGAGTTTGAGGCCAGCCAGGGCCTCATAGTGAATTCAAGGCCAGCCTTTTCTGCATAGCAAGGTCTTGTCTCCAAAAATCAAAATTGCAATTCCATCTTGGGACTACCGGGTTGGCTAAGCTCAGGTACCTGGTAACCCCTTGGTTTGTGAAAGGCAGGGCATCATCATGGACAGTACCAGCAGATGGTATCCAATGGGCAAAAGAAAATTCCTCCAAGTAAAACAGGGGAGTGGACACCAGAAGGAAGAGTCAGACAGTCTCTGGCAAGAATGCCAATGTTTTCTGCGGTACTTGTCTTCCAGAGATGCTGCCACAGGCTTCTCATCTACTATTTGGTCCCATTTGAGGGGCTTTGGGAAGTAACCATTTATGTAAAATGAATTCTGTTACCTCCCTGAGCAGATGCTGTCACCACTACGCCCCTCCATGGCCAGCTCCCTCTAGAGGGTCAGAGCTGCTTCTAAATCTCACCGTCTTGATTGCCGTAAGTCACAAATGGCTATTCGTCCCCAATCCTAGAAGATGAACCTTCTCAAAAATCATTGAAACTTTAGTCTTCCTAGGTCCTTGATCTCAAAATCAAATTTTTGATGCCTATACTTTCAGGACAGTTTCTAAGCCCTGGGTGATGAGAACATCTGGACTTATCAAGCCCCTATTTTCATGGATTTCAAATGTGCAGCCTCCTCGTGAATGCATGTGGTTGGTCAGGATATTTCAGCCTCATTTTGTAAGCCATTGAATGGCTGCACACATAACATCGGGCCCAAGGTCCTACCGAGAAGTAGCATCCGAGTCTGGACTAGAATCCTGATTTCTAGACTGTTTGTATAGCAGGAAATGAGGACGGTGTTGTAGGAACTGGGTGGCATTAAATCAGCCCAACTGTGGATGTCTGGGGACCCTGAAGAAGCCAGTTTTGTGTCTCACCTGGTGGAGACAGCACCATGGAGGGAGTCACAGGAGTGGGACTGTGTCCTCCTTCAGTTACTTTTTTATCCTCAAAGCCCCTGGAGGTAAGAGGAAACCCATTTTTGCTGCACATTTCCATCCCATTCCCCTGCATTCCTGGCCTGAAGTCTCACGTTATCCATCCTTCCAGTCCTCCTGAGGGGAAGTGGTATGGCCGGGGGCTTCAGCTTGTGTCTCCTCTTTTTCGCAGTGCCCCTCCAATGACACCACCAGCTGTGCCACCTACACCTTCAGCTCGGGGATCAATGCCATCCAGGAGTGGTACAAGTTGCACTATATGAACATCATGGCCCAGGTGCCTCTGGAGAAGAAAATCAACATGAGCTATTCCGCCGAGGAGCTGCTGGTCACCTGCTTCTTTGACGGGATGTCCTGCGATCCCAGGTCAGGGGAAGAAGGCTGCGCTCTGCACTTCCGAGGACTGGTGGCTCAGAGCGCCAGGCCCTTTTGCAGGGATCTGCAGCTTGCCTCTAGTTCTTGGGAGCAGATGGTGCTCTCGTCACTCTGTTTTCCAGAACACCGGCTCCATGGAAGCTAGCTCTGGGGTCAGTGAGTAGAGAGGGACTGTACGCTATCTCTGAACTCATTCGGTCACTTGTCGGGACCCACAGTAACTGGCAGTATGCGTATAACCTATTACTAGGTTGCACACCCGTGATGGAGGACTACTGTCCTTGTACAGAGGAGGAAAGAAAGGGAGGAAGGGAAGAAGAAAGTCCCTGTCCACTTATATGAGTCTGCAGACTTTCCCATCTTTAAGGAGGCCCTTAGCCCTGGGGGCAGTGGGCAGTGGGTGGACATTTTAAGGGGACCCTTCTTGTCTGAAGGGCCTTCTCTGTTCTTTTCAAACACCAACCCTCACTTCCTTTGTATTCAGCAGTAGACACATCTGTCCTTGCAAAATCCTAGTGACTGGAGTCTGAGAGCGAGGAACATGGAGACCCCCTGAAAGTTGGGTTCTAAAGTCAGATAAGGCCACCAATGAAGGAATTCTTCCTCGGAGGATCATTTCTTAAGGCTGGGAACTTGAATAAAAGATGTTGAGTGCTGGCTGAGAAATTTAAGAGTAGGAGAATTTGAGGGCAGACATGCGGCACAAGGAACACCAAAGGGAGACAATGGTGAGGGGATTAAGAGGGAGAGCAGAAAGCACAGTCTAATTCTACGTCCGTGCTTGTCAGCCTGACTGGCAGGTTTTGTTTGCCACTCTCTCAGGGGAAAAATAGGGAAAGTGAGTCATGCCTGCCATTCATTATGCCCAAAGAGAGACGGCCCATGAGCACTGCCCTGCGAGACTTCAGCTGAGATGTGCAAGGGAGTTCCCCGCCTGGTCCTTTCTGACCCAAGTCCTTCCCCAATAGGAACTTCACACTTTTCCACCATCCCATGTATGGAAACTGCTACACGTTCAACAACAGAGAAAACGAGACCACGCTCAGCACCTCCATGGGGGGCAGTGAGTATGGTAAGGAAACCCACACCGAGGAGGAGGAACCAGGGTTGTCTACCTGAGCATCGTGGCGGCAGGACAGTCGGGGATGGGTGAGCTTCCGGAAACAAATCTAGCCAGGCCCATATCTGTCATCCCAGCTCTTTGGGAGGCTGAGGCAAGAGGATGCCAAGTTCAAGTCTAGCAAGATCCTGTCTCAAAAAATGAAAAAGGTGGAGGGGTGTAGTTCAGTGTAAAGGCCTTGGGTTCCGTTCCCCAGTACCAGCGGGGGGAAAGAGAAGAAAGAAATGCAAATCTCTCTACTTGTCCCCCAACCAGAAGCTTACCTTGTTGGTTCCTTTCTTTGGTGTGTCTTGTTTCTCCTTTTTGACTTTTCTTTTGTACATTTGAGATCCTCAGGGACATGGCTGGTTTCTCCTGAGAAACTACCTTGGTTTAAGCTTGTAGCTGGGGTGAGTAATGCTGGGCAGGTGGCTCCTTAACAGAGTTAAACCCACAGGTGCTGAATAGGAGGTTAGGGTGGTAGACACACCTTTGTCTTTGTTAAGGTGATAGATTCTGGAGCCAAAACCCAGCTCTGCCTTTGCTGTGTGACCTTGGGTGAGTTACTGCCCTTCATCTATAAAGGAAGAGTGGTAATACTGTGCCCCATCAAGGTTACTGAGAAGACTTACATAGCCAGAGTACTTAGAACAGCAGTGGTGAGCCAATGCACACATGTTCTTTGTTTTTCTCTTAAGACAAAAGATGTCAGTACATGAGTTGGTTTTTTTCTAGACTAAAACCTCAGCTTTCAAGTTTAATTGCAGTGTTGGTGCTTTGCGATAAATAAGTGGGTTTGGGGTTGCAGTTTGGGCACTCGGTCTTTGAAAGACTTAGAATCTCTAATCACTGCCGTAGAATGAGACCTGGTATTCGCTCTTCATACACACAGACTGCCATAACAAAATCCCACTGCCTGGGTTGCTTAAACAACAAACATTTATTTCTCACAATTCTGGAAAGTTCAAGATCAAGGTGCTGGCGGTTTTGGTTTCTGGTGAGACTTCTCTTCCTCGGTTTGAAGATGCTGGCTTCTCTCTGTGGCTTCCCCTGGCCTTTGCTCTATGGCGAGTGGAGAAAGAGTATTGTGAGGTCGCTGTCTTTATAATGACAACAGTCCTATCAAAATAGAGCCTCACCCTTAAAATCTCTTCTTACCTTAATTAAGACCCTATCTCCAAATGCCATCACACTGGCGGTCAGGGCTGTAACATGTGACTGGCATGAGGGACATAATTCAGCTGCACACACGATGCACAGGATAAATGCTAGTTGTTGTCATTGCTACGATTGTTACTATTATTGTAACAACACTACTATTGTTGCTAGTCCCCCTAGCATTGCTCCTGCTGCTACCACCACCTGTACCATTACTATTCCAGTGTTGCTCTCACTACGGCTCTAATTCTACTTTTGTAGGGATGGAAGGAACTCAGCAGGGTGGCCTGGCTTGCCCACACAAGGAATGTTGAAAGGCCCTATGCAAACCGAACATGATTTGATGTGCAGAGATGCTCCCGCCAGGAAAGACAAGGCTTTGTACTTGAGGAAATCCACATTTGGAATCCTGGACTTTGTAGCCTGTGTTCCTCCTGAGAAACCATAATTCAGAGTATATACTCCAGTGGGAAAAGTTGTCTAGCAGCAAAAAGTGAGGAGGTACAGAGTTCTGGCTTTGTTATGCAGAGCTGTGTATCCCCCCCGCCAAATCACTGTCCCTCTCTGGGCTTCAGTTCCTTCATTTACAAGTTAAGGATATCAGACTGGCACCCAAGTTCTGACTGAACCCAGGAATGTTCTACCACTCAATCCTGCCTCCAGCCCTTTTTATTTTATCCTGAGGCAGGTTTTCATTAAGTTACCCAGGCTGGGTTCAAACTTGTGAGCCTCCTGCCTCAGCCTCTCTAGCTGAGATCACTACCACCTCTCGTTTTCCGAACATGTACTGAGTATCTGCTGTATTCTAAGGACAAACAAGCCAGATGCCATCTCTGCTTTCAGACAGCTTACTTTTCAGTGAACAGAGACACTTACGTGAACAAACACATACTGTACGAAGATGTTGTCTAGTTACAAGTCCTCGTAAACTGTGCAAGGAAAAGAAAGCAACACAGAGGAAGCAGAGTGGCTGGGGTCAGGATGGGCTTGAGGTAGGAGAAAAAGATTCAGAAAGACTTCACTGAAGGGGCTACTGAAGGATGGGATAGTCTGTGCTAAGATGCACACAAGAGCAAGGGCACCGAGGAGAAAATGAATGTACTGTGTTCCAGAAAGGAATAAGGCCTGTGTGCTTATAGAGCTGAGAGAGTCACAAGAAGAGGGGTTGGAGACGAGAAGAGAGAAAAGGACGGGCTGCACCATGCTGGCCTTGACAGTTGTCACCAGACTGATTCCATCTGCCTCCCCTACATCCAGCACAATGCCACTGAAGGGTCCAGGCTGGGGAGTGACCCAACCTGATTTCCAGTCTTCAAAGGCCCCTGTTTTAGACTGGAATCCTGGAGCACAGCTGGGAGCAAGTCAGGCCTAACTCCTACCCTCACAAAGCGCTCAGTCTCCATCCACCCTTCGCTTGTTAGAAATGCTTGGGCCTTGGTTTTGGTATCCCAAAGCCCTGGAAGGGGTGGGTGCCCCACAGGGGATGCATTCCTAGCCTTTGGCCACATCGGGCTGCTTTATCCTCCAGGGCTGCAGGTCATTTTGTACATCGATGAAGAGGAATACAACCCCTTCCTGGTGTCCTCCACTGGGGCAAAGGTGCTTATTCACCAGCAAAATGAGTATCCCTTCATCGAAGACGTGGGGACAGAGATTGAGACCGCAATGTCCACCTCCATAGGAATGCACCTGGTAAGAGAATATCCTCTTTGTAGGCTTGCATAGGATGACAGGTTTGTTTTCTTCCTTTTTTTTTTTTCTTCCAAGAATAACCAATGAGGTGCAGCTTAAGAAAAGGGTGTGCGTTTCAAGTAGAACATGGTTCTGGATTTTCCAATGGTTCCCAAGGATCATGCCACTATTTACAATAAAGGTTATCTTGGTATCATCTGTGTGGATGAACAAAGATAGTATGTCATTGGGGGAAAAAATTTTAAAACATCTTCCTAATTTAAATAAAACAGAGGGCCAGTGGTTCTACTGCCTGCCTCGCAAGTGCAAGGACCCGAGTTTGATCCCTGGTACCAAAAAACATGGACTACAGCATTTATGGAACCAGAGTGGAAGAAAAGCATCAATTATATATTTGTCAGTAACATAAATTGAAAGAAGGTTGACATCTCCCCTCTGGGGTGCATAGAGGCCCAGGAAGCCCGTGAACAACGACTTAAGGTTAATGGAAAGGTCTCTGGTTGTCAGTAGGCGATGCAGTTTGTCACACTTCCCTCAGTTTTACCTTGCTTGTCAAGAATCCCTTCTCCTTCCGTCTTTCAACTTCTCTGACCCCATTCAGTGCTGAAAACATTCAAACCTGTTATTAGAAGCTCATTTGGGCTGCAGATTCCAACCAACATTGTTGATTATTCAGCTTGTAGTCTTTGCTAATCTTTCAAGAAAAAAAAAAACAGTGTCTATTATGTTTACTTCATGTTTCTTCTTCATGGCTTTTATTTTTCACCTGTTTGTGGGTGGAAAATCAACAATCTCTCTTTGGACCATCTTTTCATTCCTTTATTTGCATCCAAACGTAACGTCCCACATTAAACTTACCTCCCTCCGTCCCTCACAAACTTGCTCTCCAGAGCAGTGGTTTCCAAACCTGGCTGGTCATTGGGTTCAAATGTCCTAAAGCAGAATCTCTGGGAGATGAGTCCAAGGGGCCATATTTTTACCTCTCTCTGGTGATTGTCATGAGGCGACATACTGAGACGTCTGGCTTTAGAAACTTGAACAGTTCTAAGTAGAGGAGAAGAAAGCTGTATGTTTCCCTGTGAAAGTGAGTTGGGTGACACAAAAGGTCTACCTCACAGCTGCAAATGGCTTTGAAGCAACACAGTGGGCATTAGGGGCTTGGACCTTCGCCCATCATTTAGCCATTGGACAATTATTTTTCTGAGTGCTTCTTCTGTTCTAGACACTGGGGACCCACCAGTGTGCAAGATACCATCCCTGTCCTCGTGGAGCCCAGAGTCCGGCAAAGAGGACCGATAATAAGAAATTATGCAGATGATTTGTTACGAGCACCATGAGTACTATGAGGAAGCAATGCAGGCTGCAGGGGTGTACATCTGCACTAAACAGTTTTAGCCTGTTTGCTGTTGTTCGAAGAAAATGCCTAAAACCAGGTAATTTATAAAGAATAGAAGTTTATTTGACTCACAGCTCTAGAAGCTGTTGAAGCTAAGAGCACAGACTAATGTCTGGTAAGGGCCTCTTTGCTATATCAGAACATGGTAGAGGCCTACATGGTGAGACAGCCACTGCGCTGGCTCAGGCCCCTCGTCCTCTTCATTTAAAGTCACAGATGCCATCATAGCCCCACCCTCAGGACTCCCTCTGACCCTACTCACCTCCCCTGAGCCCACCTCCCAATAGTTAAGCTTAGTTTACAGAGATGATGGCCTGGATGGTGGTGTGCAGCACTCGCTCCATCTGTGGTGAGGGGCCCTCCAAAGGCAGCCCGGACAAGGGATGGTTGTCTGGCACCGCAGACGCATGGAGGCAGTTGCTTAGGAACTTTGTTTCAACAGGGGAGAGAAGTAATGTGTACCATCTTGGGTTGTGTGAATGAATAATGGGGAAAAAATCCCGAGCCCCAACCTGCTCAAACAGAGGCTTCCAAAAATCTGGAGACGCCACTTCTGGAGCTGGGCGTCTGCTTTTTCTCTCACTGCGAGTTCATGGAACTGCCCAAGGCAATAGTGAAGGTGTGGAGCCAACGGCTCCCCTGTGGTTCCGTCTCCTTGCTGAGGAAGGTCCTGGACTTCACACCCCATCCTTCCCTCATGATTTCTCCTTGTCCTGGTCTCTGCCTCTCATAGCATCTGCAAACTGGGCTTAAAGAAAGTGGGGTTTGCAAAAGTACAAAAAGGAATGCATTTTGCCCTCTTAGTGTTTGCTCTGAGGTTGGAAATCACCACCACGTTGCTGAGCAAGGTCCTGTGTACTAGTGTGGATAAGCAAAAACATGGGTGAGTTTTCTGCTACACCTAATTTGAGATGTAGAAAATCGAAACCATAGAGCAGGTTCAATCAGCTCTAGGCTTGATTTATGAGCATTTAGAGCAATAAAAAAAAAAAAGGAGGTCAGCAGGGGGTCACTAAGAATGGGTACTATTTGTACTCAGGCTTCCTTCCTCATTTATTTGTTTATTTACTTACGTTAAGCTGGTAGACTTGTTAGACAATTGGTTAACCGACTTTCCACACTTAACTGAGCAAGATTTGTGTTCAAAGCATCAAATCTTCAAAGATGAACACGTCAGAGCTACTTCCTTCAAAGATTTTTACCTTTAACAAGGACAGACAAAATTAACGCACCTTTGCACTATATTTCCTACCTCTGTAGAAGGAAGTGCTCTGCCTGTCTTGTACCCAGGCTCATTGCTTAGAACGTATCTAATATACAGTTGATATTGGATGGATGAAAGACGGCCTCTCGGATGGAGGGATAGATGGAGATAGAAGCTATTGGAGAAGACTTCCTGAATAGTTAATTGTTTTGTTTTCTTTTGTTTTCTGAGACAGGGCTTCACTAAGTAGCCTAGGCTGACCTCAAACCAGCTATGCAACCCAGGCTGGCCTCAAACTTGTGACCCTCTTGATTACAGGCATGCACCACCACACCCAGGTCTAAATGATTAATTTATGAAGGACAAATGTCTTGCAAACAATGTTAGGAAGGGCTTGTCATGGAAACCATGTAGCAATGACAGGAGGGTCACAGAAACTATGTTAAGACATCCTTTGAAAAATCACTTTGGCTGAAGTGTAATCGATACCCTAGAACATTTGTAGTAATTTGAGAAACAAACAATATAGAACTTTGTTGAGGCAAAGAGGGGCTGAGTAGAAGGAAATGGACTTCAGAGATATTACAGTGTAGAAGCAAGTGTACTGGACAACCAGCGTTGGCAAAAAAAAAAGCCAGGGGAATTTAAGTGGATATTTAGGTTTTAGCTTGGGCATAGGGGTGAATGAGGGCTCAGAATTAGGAAATACAAGAAGAGGGGTATGCTTGAGAGTGGAGATGACCACTTCAGTTCAGGACATACCCAATTTGTTGTGTCTTTGGGGAAACAAGGTGAAAAAAAAATGTCCAGTAATTAAGTGCTGTGAACCTGAGTTCCTCCTGGAGCTCAGGAGAAAATATGGGAGGTTATCTAGAGTTGGAAGTGAAAGTCATCACCTAAGACCTGAAACAGAACCCTAAACATCTGCAAATGTTTAGGGGCTGAGCAGAAAGAAAATAGAGAAACAGAGGCTGAAAGAGGAACAGAAGTCAGAAAGAGGGTGTCAGATACATCAAGAAGAGACTTCCGGGAACCAGGCGTGGTGGTTCATGCCTGTAATCCCAGCACTTGGGAGGCTGAGGCATGAGGATCTCCACTTGTTCGAGGCCAGCCTGGGCTACCTAGTGAGACACAGTCTCAAAACTTTGCCCCCCCTAAAGAAAAAGGGACTCTTCAGGAAGGTGTGACCACAGTGAAAGTGCAGTTGAGAGGTCTAGCGAGGCAAGGGTGGAAGGAGTCCTCTGAGTATGACGAGCACTATGTCACTGGAGTTCTTTGCCATAATAGTTCTCAGAGGAAGGAGTGGAACAGAAACCAGACTGGGAAGTGCCAGCTGGTGAACGGAGATGACTGTGAACAATGGTGCACCATTCACCCGAGCGGCTTCGGGGCCAAATCACAGAGAAGAGGGAGACTCTGCCGTCCTTGCAGATCCTCTGGGCATTTTTATCTCAAAGCCCACAGACAGCTTCTTTTCACAAGTGTGTGCATCACAGGGAGTAAGGACTCGGGGGGCTGGGAGTCAAACCCTAGCTTTGTGCTTGGAGTGTGTAATCCAGTGGGGGCTGAACCTGGGCCTTTGCACTGGGCTACATTACCGCCCCTCCCAGCTTTAAAAAAACTTTTTAAAAAATTTGGGGACAGTTTATCGCTAACTTGATATGTTGCCCAGGTGGGGTTCAAACTTGTGTTCTTCTTTGGTTACTATGTTTATTGACGCTTTCCCCTGCTTGAGTTCGGATACTGAATTTTCTCCCAGTTATCGTATTAGTCCATCTAATGCTTGAACCCCTTAGATTTCTGCAGAGTGTGAAGTAGAGATTTATTTCTTCCTTTAAATACTTAATAAACTGTCCTAACTATGTATAGGTAGCTCTTTTATTCCCAACATGATAAGGATTGCAAGCTTTAGTGTACGCAAATAGCATTTATAATGTATTACAAATTAAAAACAAAAGAAAAGAAAAAAAGAGTTAAACCCCTCATGAATCCATGCGAGGCAAAGCTTTTCCACTCTTTTCTAATTTTTACATTTACTTGTCTTTTGTTATGAAAGTAGAGCACTATTCTTCTGTAGCCTTTTATCTCCTCATTAAAATGCACCATTAACATCTTTCCGTGGCACTAGTCTTCCACCATGCCAACATTACTGGCCATGTAGAACTTTATCAAATAAATGTAGAGTCCATCCTCATACACTAAATCCCCACTGCACATAGCTGTCCCTTGGTGTTGGATGGAGAACCGGCTCTGGACACCAGAATCCACAAACGCTCCAGTCCCTTCCATGAAGTGTGGTAGTGTTTGCATATAGTCTCCTCATCATGCCTAATGTCATACAAACGCTATGTAAACAGCTGTTAGACCTCATTGGTTAGGGGGAATGACAAGCAAAAAGCCTGCATATGTTCTGTACAGATGTAATTTTCTTTCCAGTTATTCTTCTATTCACAGTTGGGTGAAATCTGTGGGAGCTCACCAGGTCCATTAGATAAAGGAGGTAGAATTTGCATGTAACTTACACATATCCTCCCATATACCTCAAACCATTTCTAGATTGTTTTTTTGTTTGGTTTGGTTTTTTGAGACAGGGTCTCACTATGCAGTTGAGACTGACCTGGAACTCACTATGTAGCCCAGGCTGGTCTCCAACTCACAGCGATCCTCCTGCCTCAGCCTACCGAGATTACAGGCATGTGCCACCATGCCCGGCTCTAGATTATTTTTAATACCTAATACTATGTAAATAGTATTTATACTTCATTGCTTAGGGAAGAACAACAAGGAAAAATATCTGTACATGTGCAATAGAAATGCAATTTTTAATATTTTTGATCTACGATTGAATCTGTGGGTGCAGAGACTCACCGTATACTTTCAGTTGCACGTTCACTGCCTGCTTTCTCTGGCACACAGGGACTCCCGCTGTTGAATTAGTATGTGTTGAAACGAAGCAACAGATGAATCAACATGAATTGCACAAACGAATCGAGTAAGAGGTAGAACTTGAAAAGTAGACATTTCGCAGGCTGGGCTTGGGCACCAGCTACAACGGGGCAGCCGCCTCATGTCAAGTGGAAAGCAAGAGTCGAACGGAAGTTTGGGACGAAAGAGAAGTACAGCAGGCTTCCCCTCCGGCAGAGTACCTCAGTTAAGGACAGCGAAGCGGACTAGTCTAACACCAGTGGGTTCTCAAAGGAGCGTCAGGAATTACTTGTGACCTTTCAGGAAGGGGTAGGGAGTCCGAGGAAGAAGGGAAGGCCTTCGGTATTCCTGTGCCAGTGTATACACTTTAAAGATGTGCCTGGAAATGTTTTATTTTCGCCCTTCTGGGCAGAGATCTTAATAGAAAAAGATCATGATGAAGGTAAAATGAATTTCAGGGTTGGCTCCCAGGCAACTCTGTTACCGTCTTTGCTTGCACCTGTTTCAGTCTGCCCTGGGGCCCCACTTTCTTACCCAAGGAATACAGTGGCTCGTTTGCTTCATTAACACTGCCTGATTTACTTTCCCCTCTTAACGCCAAAAGTCCACTTCTTTTCTGTCTGGCTGCTACTTCCTGATCCTGCCTGTCGCGGGCTGATGCACCTGGGCTTGAATCAGCAGGCCGTGGGGAGCAGGGACAGGGCCAGATCCATGGTGCAGATGATTTGGGCTGAGCAATGGGGCGGAGGAGACACTGAGCAAAGGAAAATCTAGGCCACCAAGCTCCAGACTCTGTCTTCCAAGTAGTAAGAGAGGGTAATGGTCAAACCAGGCAGTGAGCAAGAACTGCAAGAGCCAAGTGACTCAAGCAATGCTGCCGGGGGTTCCTTGTTGGCTACGAGGAAGTAGAGAAGCTCTAGATGGATGGTGAGGTTTCTAGGCAACTGGACAGGCCAGGATATCATTAGCTGACGTGAGAAATCCGGGGGGCCAAGCAGGTGTTAGGTAAGTGAAGACCCTGAGCTCAGTTTTAGATATCTTGTCAGTTTTTGCTCTACACAAACCACCCTAAGCCTAAGGGTCTTCAGAAGTCACTGATCAGCTCGCGGTCTGCGGTGCAGCCACATGGGCTGGGCTCGAATGGGCAGTGTGTGGTCAGACATGGAACCATCTACCTGCTCCATTCCCAGCCCTGCCCCAGCACTGCTGTACTCTCCCGGCAGAAGCAGCAGCCCACTTTGAGAAACAAGGCCAGAACCGGGGCCTCCACTTGTATTCAGAGCCAGATGGGTTTCCACTGCCCCAGCAGGCCCAGGGCACCATTTTCCCCCATTGGCTGAGGTCGGTAGACATCTTAGTCACACCCTCAGTGGCTGAGGGGAGCAGGGGCATTCTTTTTGCTGTGGGTCGAGCTTTTCATCCAGACGTGTACGCAGTGGAAACCAGGAAATGCAGGACTGTTCTGATTGAGCCAAGGACACTAGGCTGGTACTGCCCAGCCCAAAACACACTGCAAATGGATCACAGTTTGGGAACCTACAGTGAGGCTGACTCTGAGAAGGCAACTATGGTGACCACTGTGTGGGACAGTGGTGACCACAGAAATGCAAAAAATGACAGTGTGACAGCCGCTCTCTCTGGGAGGAAGAGCCTGGCCCAGCTGGCCTCTGCACGCATGAGGGAGTGACCAGGCTGGTGGGTGGCTGGTTGGTGTAAGAAAGCGGGACCTGGCTGTCCCACCCCAGAAACCATGAAAGCGTGACAAGGGCCACCCCCTTATGACCTACCCTGCCTCCTGGCCACGCTGCTACCTGGGCTTTCCCCTGGGCACCCTTTCTACCTTTAAAGAGGAGAGCAAAAGATCCCCGTGCAGCTGTCTCTGTCCCCTGCCTAGATCCTCAGCTGGAAGCGGACAGGCCCAAGGTGAACAGAGTCCCTGCCAGCTGTGCCAGCCACGTCCGGATCCCAGTGCCTGGAGGACAGGGCCATGTGGAGCCTACAGGAGACTCCAGGCTCGTGGACAGCTCGGCAGGACTTAGGGCCCAAGGAACATCTCTGCTGGGGCAGCTCAGAGGGTGTCAGGGAACTGGGGAGCCCTAGGGGAGCCACAATCAGCACCCCTGCGCCTCAGTTCAAGCCCAGCCCTTGGGAGCACTAGAAGCTCTGAAATTGTTCACTACCCAGCTACTGAGTCCACTTGTTTTGTACCAACCTGGAGAGAATCTCCCTCTTCACTGTCAGTGAGAAGAGCAGAGTGCAGGGCAAGGTGTACATCTGTCTGTCTAAGGCGAAGGGCCTTGTGTGTGACGGTGGGTACCTGGGGAAGAGGAGGGGCCGGCTGGCTCCTTGCCCCTTTGTTTGCTTCTGTTGTTTAAACATTTCAAAATGAGCACTATCTATTGCCCTTGAGGAACTTGCAGTTGACTGAGGGAGATTCCTGGCTCGTTAGCTGGATTACAGTACAAACAGAATACAGCAGCTTGAGCTTGTCTACCTATCAAACCCTTTCATTCCTTCTTTCAAGAACTTTTCTGCCCTCTTTTTCTTTTTCTTCCCTCCCATCCTCTTCCCCTTTACTCTTCCTTGCTTTTCTCCTTTAAAAAAAATAACAAAGTTAGCTGAGTGTGGTAGTGCATGCCTGTAATCCCAGTACTAAGGAGGCTGAGGCAGGAGGATCACAAGTTTGAGGCCAACCTAAGGCATATAAAGAGACCATGTCTCAAAAAATAAAACAAAAGAAAACAACACGCATGGACCCTGACCCTCAAAATCATCTGGTCATAGTTTATGTTCAATTTTTATCAGAGATGTTATATCCCACACACACACACACTTTTTTTTTTTTTTTTTTTTTTT